GTCTGTTCCCATTACTGAAGATTTATTTTGTTTTGGAAAGTAAAATAGGTGTGACTTAACTCTCTTGCTTCGTTATGCAACTGGTTGTTTATGAATAGACAGCCTGTGGCAGCAAATATGTCATAAACAGTCAATAGGTTGTCATATATTTGCATAAAATATTCATCAATAACTTGAAACTCAAAAAAATCATAAAGCATGTTATATCAGTTTTGCTTACACCCAGTCTGTAGGAAGCATTAGTTCCGTTGGCATCCATTCTCATATTTGAGCAAAGATGCACAGTCTGGTCTCGGAGGTTTTTTGTTTTGTTTTTGTTTTTAAGAGCAGGCACTTTCATAAATAAGTACAACAGCAATTTCTTTTTGACAATAATAGATACTAAACTACAAAAAAAAAAAAAAAAAAAAAAAAAAAAAAACCAACCTAGAAACACAATGGATTCAACACTATTGAAAAATATTAAATCACATTTTCTGATATTGTAGAAGAGTTGTTTGATAGAAGAATGGCTGAGTAGTTTGATGGAAGAATGGCTGAGTAAAAAAACCTTTTATTTTCCTGTACTTATGAAAGAAGATAGATTGTAATTTTTCTTTCTGGTTCTATAATCTATAAATCTATAATTCTCAGAATGCTTTTGTGAATTATTTCTAAATAAATCAACTGGAAATATATTTATAATATCTATTGTTTTGAGAATGGAATTTGTCTATATATATCTATACATGTATAATTTGCGAAAGGTAAGGAATATTTAAATGCAAAGCTAATTTAAGTGAGCATAACCTTTTGATCTAAAAAGTAAACAATCTAACAATAGGATAAATTGCAATCTGTTGAGACATATTTGAGTTATTTTGCTGTAATTGGCTTGGCAGCAGCTTCAGTCACAGATTTCTGTTTCACAGATTGTCCCCAAATGAATAAAAGGTTTGCTTTGAAATATAATTAATACTGCATTCAGCTGCAAGACTTTCTCAGGTTGTCAAAGGAATTTGAAGAAGGTAGTTAAAAAATAAAATAAAAAAAAAGAAAAGAAAAAAAAAAAGCAGCAGGATGAAGTAGCTAAGTCAAATCTAAAGATGAGATGAAGGACAGCAGAAAAAAATACCATGAAGTTGACTGAAAGAACTGACAGAAGTCTCTCAGGTATTCATTTATTGTAAAATCAATCATCAATAGATGCTTTAATCTGTTGCATAGACCATGCATCCACTTTCACGGTGTCTGTTAAGGTAACTTATGAGCTCTTTGGCTCTGTAATGTGTATGCACTGCAACAGAGAAGAATCTAGAAAGCTTAATTTTTCAGTGCTAAAATCATAACTGCTTTGCATACACATTCAAGTTAGTTCAGGCATAGTGTTTAGAATTCAGAAATTTAGTTTTTTGGAAATCTACAACTAAAAGTACAGTGTGCAGCACAAATAGAAAAGAGAGGGCAATTTTTATCTACTTCACAAGGGGTAATTCAGGGCCAGGGACATTTTTTCTCAAATTTTCTGCAGATTGAGATTCTTGTCATGCACACAGGGAAGGTGTATGGGTCTTTGTAGGTGGTGAAGTGCAACCACAAATCTTGTCTGCGGGGTAGGGCAGTGTTGTTAGTAGAGATGATGCTGGCATCTTATGCCGTCTCTATGGAAGGAACTGATGGCCTGCAGTCCCAGGCAATGAGTGAGGAGAGATGAGACCCCAGGGTCCTAGTATTTTAGGTACCAAAGTCCCATGAACAGCTAAGCACCAAATGTACATAACAATGTATATAAAACTTCTTTGATATTTAGCTGTATCATTTGTTTATCAAAAGTTTAAAAAAATACTATTAATGGAATTGAAGTGAGCTCCCTCTCCCAACTGCAAAAAAAAAAAAGGAGAACAGCACTCTCTAATAAACATCAATGACTGTGAATAGTTCAAATCATCAAAAGCTATGTAAATTATGATGGCCAAGCAACGCTTCTGGTGTTGTGGCACCTACTGTTGTTTCATGGTGAAAGGAATTCTAGATCTGATGTTTGAAGTCATCATTGGTTGGGAGAGGTCTTTCCTCCCATTTAGTTTTAGTCAGGGGTATGATCATCCCTTTGTTCCTGGTATTGCCAGTAAAGAACCTTTAAGGTTCAGCACTGATACATCTGATACGTCCTCTCTGATCAACAAAATAAATGAATAAATTAATTAAAAAACTACTACTTTAGATTTCTATATGTTTAAAGTAGAATAAGAGGATAAACACTCCTCAGTATGATCACATTTTTATTTACGAACAAAATAAGCAACTGCAGCAGCTGATGACAAAAGAGGGTTTCTCAGGTGAAGAGAAAGAAAAATATAATTAGCTGTTCTAAACATCTAAAATGAGTTCACCTTTCAAAGTACGAGAAGCCAAAATCCTTTCTGCTTTTCCTGAATTTCATCTGTGTAAATTACACACACAAACATCTATGAAAACTGTCTCAATACTTCAGTCTGTAGTTAATTGGCATGATAACATTTGGGTGAGCTTTCTTTTATCCCAAATACCTGGGGTTAGAAAAAGGTTATCAGATGCCTGTAAAGGAACATATTTGGTAGTCATTCAACAGTGAGTGCTTTGCAAGCCATCTTGGTTAGATTTCCTTAAATATTTAAATAAAAATTTTAAATGTCATTTGGTTAATTTCCAGGTTTCCTCCATTTATGTAGTTAAGGTCCAACAGGGAAGACAGAATATTTTTGAGCTAGAGTGTCTGTATGTAACACTGTGTTACTAGATTGACAGTTCACTAGGAATTTTATATTATCAAAGATGATTTACATCTTTATATAGCCTTTTTTTTTTTTTTTTTTTTTGTGTGTGTGTGTGTGTGTGTGTGTGTGTGTGTTCAGATAATTACCAGTAAATTAGTTGCATGTATTTTTTTGTGGAAGAGAATTTGGGGAAGGTAAGTGTGTGTGACAGCAGTTTAAAGCTTCAAACTAGCTTCACAGAGGGTAAGGATTAGCAAGAATCTGGTACTGAAGCTGCCTGATATACAAAAGAAAGCTGTTTGCAAAGGATGCTGTAAAAGAGTGGAGAGAAGGGGGAGATTGAAGATGTGGCTTACTGTATATCCTAAATCTGGCTGGAAGATGGGCTTTGAACAAGCTGTTATTTTCCACATGGGAGTAGCATTGCTACAGTAAAATGCCAGATTTCATCCATCATAATGTCATGGCTCATATTAAAATGTCTTGAGGGACCTTAGGGAGGGATGGGCAAAAGACATCAAATCAATTTTCAGGCAATTGCTACGGTTTTCAGAACCTAAGCCCTATGTGATGGCGTTATGGTTGCACAAAGGGAGGCTATAAATAAGGTCCATGTATCAGGAGAGGAAGTAATTTAGAAAAAGGCAGTTGATTTGACTTTTGCATGAGGCTGAACATATGGTGAAGTACAACCGGGTTATCATTCTTTATATTCCTCGCAGACAAGCACTGACTCCTTATTTCTGCAAAATTAGCACATCAGTGCAGTTCTGAAAGTGACAGCTTTGGAGCAGAGTACTTCTTGCTCATGAAAAGAAGTAATAATTTAAAAAAAATAATAAAAAAATGCACGGATATTTTTACTCATTTAAATTAGTTATGAGACATACAAGGCAAACACATCATAAAACAAGTTATTTCTGGAAGCTTGAACATTGAACTTTCTGCAGAAATTGGATGTTTTTACAGATGTTTTTAAGTGCAAAGGGTGAGAAATTTGCCCCAGGATGGTCCTTCACTACAGGTAAACTTATAAAGTTTGATAATCTACACAAACAAGCATAAGTGGGTTTATTATGAGCTTTGCAAGGCAACAAATGGTATTTATGCCAAATGTAGTTGTTGTACATGGATGACTAAGCAGGTGGTTTAGAAGCAAATTTGTCCATCTGATGGTTTAATAATCTGGATGCTGCATCCATTTAGCAACACTTCAGCTCTGCTGCCCACTCTTTCTCCAAGAAAAGGACAAGATCTATTCAAGGCACATAGAATCATAGAATCATTAAGGTTGGAAAAGACCTCTAGGATCATCTAAGTGAGCCATCCACCTATGATTAATATTGTATCACTAAATCATGCCCCTAACCACAACATCTACATATTTCTTGAGTACCTCAAGAAATGACTGCCTACATTCTTATTCTGATAAAAACAGGAGGATTCAGTGAGTTCCTTATAAAGATTATTAGAAAAATATCTATTTTTCAGTTGCTTGTGGACATTTGCCTCCTTTGTGAGTTGTGCTGAAGAAAGCGGTTAGAAAAACATTTACTAAAGTAGTCCTACAAAGCTATTCTTTTCCTTAAGTGGTCAATACCTATTGACCTGCAATGACCTTTAAAGAAGGAATTCTGTCTTTTACTGTTTTGCATTAATCTTAGGCAAGCAAATATCAAGATTTTCTACTCAGCAGCTGTTTGTCTTGTATAAAATTAGCAACTGGCCTCAATCCTAGCCAAAATGGACATATGGTTGAATAAAAAACCTACAATGCTTAACACTAATTGACATACTTGTTTGCACTAGAGCTGGGCGAATTCAGTTTTTCTTATTGTTATTGTTTTGTAGCCAAATCATACCAAATAAAAGTGAGAAAATTTAAGACATGAAAATTGTTTTAGAAAAAAAAAAAAACCATAAAAAATTATCTATGCTTTATTAAAAATAAAAATAAAAATCTGTACATAAATTTATTTTCTTTCCAAGGTTAGTTGATGCTATTATTTGATCTTTTCTTCTTTCAGCATAGATGATTTATTTAAGTGCAGAGACTTGAACATTTTATCACAAGAAAATTTCTGGTCAATAGCCTGCTCATACAGACTTCTCAGAGTGATAGAAGTACAGAACCAGGAAACAAGAAATCTTTTGGACCTTACACTATTAAATTTAACAGTTCAGTTTATCTGTATCACTGTAGATATGAAGTCAGAGTTTCAAGGATGAGAACATCTGGTGCAAAGAAGGTTGGCTTTATTATGAAAGAAGACATTGTGGTTTTGTCTGGCCACAGCGTGTGGTTCTCTGATCTTGGGTAAGTAACTTCCTTTCCATGAGGGCATCTCCATTTGTAATCATTAGATAATTCTTTAAGCAGTTAGTTGAGCTGTGATAATTATGAATGAAAATTTTACAGCTCCAGGTGGGGATGTTGTGCAGTAAAACTCTGTAAAAGTCAACAAGAGTTTATATATATATATATATATATATATGTATTTTTTTTTACTAGGTACAGTCCAAAAATGAATATTTCACTTTATTGGATTGATGAATTTATCCATCCATTTGATTAGCTGTGCAATAGAATTTTGTTTCAAGAGAGAGCTACTTTAGTTGTTACTTTACATTAGTAATTGTGACTTCACATCAGTAATTATGTTCTTCTTTTCTACAGCTGATTTGTATATTTTCTCCATTTTGAATCCTTCTATAATCTCATACTGTTAACACAAGTAACTCTATTGATTTCTCAGATCTTATTAAACAAACAAACAAACAAAAAAGCATTAGTGGTTAATTGTTTGTAGGCCTGTTAATATAGTATTAAACAAAATTCAGTTACCTGGACATAAGCATCTGCCTAGCTCCAGCTCCAGCTCCAAAGGTCACAGGTTTCCCTTAGGTCCTGCATCATATTTGTCAGGTCTATACAGATGTCTTGGATACCCTCAGGCATCTCAAATGGCACCAGATGTCTATGCATAGGTAAATGAACTTATTTCTAAGGATAGGATGCAATTCCATATTCAGATAAGATATGTAGCATGCAAGTGTTTACAAGAATTTTTTTTTTCTAGCTTTCCATTATCGTCCATAGAGTTTCAGTCTGCAAGAGTAGGACTGTAGTACAGGGATCACCTTAATATCTCAGTCTCTTTTTAGCCAAGTTTAGTTCTCTATGCAGACATCTAGAGTAACCTTAGAAGCTTGAGTGTATTTAGCACATTTATATGGTGTTTGCATGGACACATGACATACATGTTTTCTGGAGTAGTATATGGTACCCAGGTGAGATGCTCTACAATACCTTCATTGGTAGTACATACATAAATAGGGACAACTGGTTCAAACACTTCTGACCATAACATAAAGGACTTGATTTAGTTGCTAAAGTAGACATCTGCTGCCTCCTAAAATGCCTTGATTTCCACAGAGTTGGTTAATGTGGCATAGATCTCAAGAAGATTCAGGCCTCTCATGGTCATGAGTGGAGGTTGAGACAATTTGACTTACATACATATACTTCATACATATATATATATATATATCATTAGGCATATAGAACAGATATATACACAGCTGAATAAAGTCCTACATCTACCCTGTGCAGAAAAGGAGTAGCTAGGTCTTTAGCTCCCACAGAGGCTCCTACAGCACCCAAATTAATTGTCAAATCCTGAAATTGAATCCCACCTGCACTGAACAAACACTGAAACAATAGAATGTTCAAGTATGCCAGATATTATCAAAATAGCCTTATAGGCACGTGTTAAAATGCACAAGCTTAAGCATAAGCTGCGCATTGATTATATTCATAGCCCTTTCCCTTTGCAAAACTTTTCTTTTCTTTCTTTCTTCTTCTTGTTATTTTTTTTGCCCAAGGCAAGAAATAATTTTTCACCTTTTTAAGTGCCACTTGACTGTGGGCATTGTAAAGATTATTACATCTTGTGGAAGTGCCAATTAGAGACAATAATTACTTGACTTGTCTGTTTTAGCATGAAAATGCCTAGAACATTTTGTCCTTGGCAGTTAGAATTTTTATGTCTATACTCATCCAATTTAGGAAATACACTTTTTTAGGGAACCTGATTTAATGCTTCCTCTCTATGCATCATAGGTGAGGCCACACACGAAATATAGTGTCCTGTTTTGGGCCCCTAGTACAAGGGAAGGTATTGGAAAGAATCCAGCAAAGGGCCACAAAGTTGATCAAGGTACTGGAGCATCTTTGCTGTGAGGAAAGGTTGAGAGAGCTGGGACTGCTCAGCCTGGAAAAGAAGAGGCTCAGGGATGTCTCATCACTGCCTGCAAATACCTGAAGGGAGGATGCAGAGAGGATAGAGACACACTCTTCAGTGGTGCACAGGTCCAGAACTAAAGACAATGGGGACAAACTGGAACACATGATGTTCCCTCTGAATGTGTGTTTCTTTACTGTGTGAGTGATAGAGTGCTAGTACAAGCTGGCCAGAGGAGCTGTGGAGTCTCCTCTTTGGAGATCTTCAAAACTCAGCTGGACTTATGCAGGGCATAAGTCCGGGTGTCCCTACTTGAGCAGAATTTGGATCAGATGGATCCAGAGATCCCTTCAACCTCTGTAAATTAACTTTACCTTCTGTAAATTATCAGCAAGAAGATTGCCCAAGTTACAGAATTCCATTCTTTATTACACAAATATTTCTAATCTGTTTATTTTGTTTATTTGTTTTAGGGATTCCTTTTCAGAGCAGTTTGTCTGATCATTTTGTATCATTTAAATATTCATATTAACTGTAACGGTAATGTAGATTTTATGAAGGATGTACTCCTAGATTAAATATTCTAAAATTATATTGAATTTTCCCGTCCCAAGTAGCATTTTCAAGGAAAATTAAATCAGTCTGCACTAATGAAAACCTAATTTACTAGAACTGTGTATGTGTTAATGAAATGGAGTGCAAAGCAGATTTTTTTTTTTTTTACATAACTCTAAGTAATTTTTCTGATGTCGAGGATGAGAAAGTGGAATAACCCCAAATCATCTAATTCATTTTGATTTGTTTTTGCTTTTTAACAAATCCCCCTAAAATCTTAAGGATCATATACATATGTTTATCTGGAATGCTTTTACGGGTTTTTAATAATTCCCATGTGTAAAATAAAAGCTCTATTTTAATTGCACATTAGATACTTTCACTAGAAAATGCTTCCAACCAAATTCTACAGGCTTTTTTGGTTTGTTTTTGTTTTTAACTAATACAAAGTATTTTAGAGATTTTTTCAGAACTATTCAAAACCACTTCTGACCAAAAATATATATTCATAGGTGGGTGTTGATTAATGGTGCTAAAAACACTTTGTGTAGGATCTCATGCTAATTACCCTTTACACCCTAACCTGTGTCAATTCTAACAATCTAAATTAGTGTTTTCTCTTAGGAACAAGGAATGTGAGAATTGTGAAATTGGCTCAGTAAGCTGAATTAACAGTGCGAAAATGGAGACGTTCTGCCTCTCTGTATTAACATCTGCTGCTTATACTAGATGTGGTGTTCTAATCTAAGTGATGGAGACATTACCCTACCTTCATGGAAAAAGAAAGAAAAAAAAAAAAGATTAAAAATAAGACAAAAAGGAAAAGGAAGAAAAGATGGGGTGGGGAAAGGGAAATGAAATTGCTGCGTTGTAAAAAAAAATGTAATTGGTGACAATTGTTATTGGCAGTTCCAGGTAATCATGTCTGGAATAATGGATTTTTGACATGCAAGTCTTGAAAATTGGTTGCATTATTGTTGATGCAAATAGTTTAGTTTCTTTCCTATTACTGCTGCCGTATAATGGAACACAATCTTATAGGCAGTGGGTGATACATAGAGCACACTGCTCAGATAAAATCCTGATTACAAATGGTTCCATTTGGTTTATTTTATATTCTAACAGTAACATAAGTCTTTCTGGGTTCATTACATTATTAAAATAAAAACCTATGTTTCTGAAGAGAATAGGAAGTTTTTATTATTGTTTCTTCCACTAAAACATTGCAAGGATTATTCAGATTTTAGGTTGGAGACATTTAGTTGATAAACAACAGTAATCAATGGCAGTGAGAAGAGCTTGTGTGTTCAGAACATAATGAAATCTCCCAGACTTGTGAACTGCCCATTGTTGCTCATTATTATCATAATCAGCACTGCCCAAAATATTTCTGGTCTGCCAGGATGGCATCTGTGCAAGAAGCACATCCAGCAGTACTGACACGCTTCAGCTAAGTGCAAGTTGAACTGCAACATCCTATAGGCTGTACTTACTGCTCCTGGGAGCAGGAGGCTGCAATTAAAAACAGATAAATACAGTCAGTGTATTTAAAAATTTTTCTTTGTTCCCAGAGTTAAAAGCACTCATTAATTAATAAAATGTATATCTATATTTAAAAAAAAAAAAAAAAAAAAACAAAAAAAAAACCTGGAAAGGCATTCTGGGAATTTGGATGGAAAGGAGAGAGGTGTAAGCCAGACCAGTGAGCTGGTGCCATGTTAATTTAGCTTTAATGGGACTGAGCTTGCTCATGGCTGGCTGAGAAAAGCCTGCTCCAGAAGTGCTCCAATGGCCTGGCTAGGCAAGGAGGATAGGGGAGCATCAGAAAGATGTCAGTGGCAGAGCTTTCTTCCAGCTCACAGATATATCACAGTGTTGCTGACAGCCTGAGCTCTTGGAAAGGTTGGAGAGAGCCAGTACATGGCCTCAGTGCTTATCCTTCCCTATTTGGCAGGAAGTAATGGGAGGGGAAAGAATTTCCCACTCCTACCTTCCTCACTGCTGTTGCTCAAACTTGTATGAAAGATAGAAATAATGAGTTTGGCCCCCAGTCATCACTTCATTAAAATAAAAATCCTTCCTGACAGCCCAAACGTGATCTTTAGAATCTTATTACTTGTCAGAATACACTTTTGTCCTATTTCAAGCCAGGAACATTTTAAATGATTTCCTTTCATTATTTTTTTCATCCCCACAGCATTGCTATATACAGTCCTTCAAAATCATTGTAAATCAGTTTCCAAGAATTCAGTTCAAATTGAATTTCCAGATATTAAAGGGTGTCCAGAAAAAACAGCTTACAAGTAAAAAAGTAAAGAAGGTAGTATAGTTACCCCTGGTTATCGTAGCTATATACTTGATTCTTTGTAAACTAGCATGGTCCAATAGATGGTTTTGAACAGACTAAACAAGTGAAAATGTGAATGAGTTGTCATCCTAAAATACGTGCTTGATATTTTAGGCTTTAAGTTTGCACAGCCATTAGACACCTACTTAAGTTTTTATATGAAATAACATTTCATAACCCAAACATCATCAGCCTGATTTTTTCTTGTTAGAACCAAATTTTTGTGAATCTCAAGCAGAGGCCAATGTTTGAACCCTGCTCTTTACTCGCTACTGTAGAATGTCAGGCAATAAACAGTTTTCTGGGAATCCTCAATTTTACTGCTTTTTCAGTGAGATGCTAACTGACCCCAGCAGAGCAGTGATAACATTAACAGATACTGTGTGTATCTGTTGATGAGTTACAGGTCTTGGCTTTGATCTACACGAGTTGCACCATTTGTGCTAGCAAGGGTATAGATTTATGCACCATGACTTGACAGCCACCACCCATCTATATTTCTGATTTAGTTGTTCACTGGGCATGCTATTAACATTTTATTTTAACAGTCCTTGAATGTCTGCAATAAGGATGCTGTGATAACCTAATAATCAGATGCTTGGATGGAGACATAGAATTGCTTCTTAAGCACCTGCAAAATTTATCTAGTTTCTTCCACTTTCTCTTAAAGTATGATAAAAGTGATGAACTGTATCTTAGCTGTCACCAGAAGGGAATGTTTCCCTAACAAATTATCATGCCATTCCTAATCCACGATTGAAGACAAATGTTTTCCTGACCTATTTTGCTTCAAAACTTTTCCTGTTGCTGGACATTACAAACCACACTGACCAGCTATTGGTACTGTCCATCTACTGGAAAAACACTATCTTTTTGTGGCCAATATCAGTTTGTCAGGCTCACCTGCTTTCTCCTTACAAAGTTTGCATGCCCCACTCTGAGTGATTTTGCCCCTAAAATCAGGTCTGGCTAACATCTCTTAAGAATGGGATCTTTAATTAATTATGTTCAGAGCTGTGACAGAAAAGGCGGTTCTGTCAGTGTCACATTGCATGTGCCTGAGTGCTGAATATTTTTGGCAAACTCGATTTTTATTAAGCATATCTGATTTATGTTTTACAGACTCTTGGGGGTGAAAAGGCAAATTAATTTAATAATAGATTCACTTTCTAGCAACATCTGTTTGCAATCTGCCTAGGCTGCTATGAATATCATTTCCTTGTGTATCAAAATGTACTCTGGTATTACTTATTCTGATTCCAGACCCCTTTCTCTTGGGAGGGATTTTTATTATTTAATTTATTTATTCATTCATTTATTTTATTTTCTAAAGTTAAATAATATTGCATTTGGAGCTGAAAAACAAATGATTTATTATTCCAGAAATGGTACTCTATGCAACAATGTTGTGTTGCGAAAGGCTGAATAAATTGGTATGTGGAATGGGTAGAGAAAAAGATGCCATGCAGAAATTATACATATTTTCCTTCTATTTGAAACCAATGGAAACTTGTTAGTCCAGTTGATTTGGGTTGTTTTTTTTTGTTGGTTTGTTTGTTTTTTGTTATTTTATCCCTGTGATGCTTTGGAAGGACCTGTGTGTTTACTGATAGAAGTAGTCCAAGCAGTGGAACTAGTTCAAACAGAGATACCGAGAAGACAGTGACCTCAGTACTTCCAGATGTGGAGCACTGCGTTTCAACAAATCACATCAGCTCAAGAATTTCTGCAATACTAGTGAAGAATATGTGCTCAAACATGTTGCTGGACTGAGACCACAGGCCTCAGATCTTTCAAATGCTGAGACATCATGGAATAAAACAGGAAGAGCCACTGCTGCAGAGAATATTAAAAGCAGGGAATAGCGCTTTGAATTTTGGAGGCTATTTGATGGTGGAGGTTCTGTGTCCTTTCAAAATTACTGAAGTGATATCTGTGAGCATTTAATTAAGAAATTCACCTCTTGGTACTATTTGTTCACCAGTCTTTCTGCTAGTGGATGTGCCATGAGTGCTACTTAGTGATACTGGTATTTTAGAAAGTTGGCTTCATCCTTCATATAGAGAAAAGCAAAACAAAGTCAGGTACTCTACATTTCAATCAGAGAGTAATATGGTGCACAATAACTCAGGGAGAGCTCATTCCATAGACCTATTCCATACCTCCTGAGTTCTCTTCAGCAGTGTAAACAGTGTTCTGTCACATGGTGATGGTTGCTTTCCATCTACAGTTTAAATACTCTGCACATGAGCCACTGAGCTGACAATGGAGTGGGGTCTGAATTCACTGAGAAATCACTGGAGGGAGGAAAACATTTGAGGAAAACAACCTGAGGTCTTGATCTTGAAAATAATTGTTATGTTCTTAATTTCTTTGATTTTACAAGGAAATATGGTTACTAAGCCAGATCAGTTTTGACATTAAACATGTTAAATTACTTTGGCCTCACAGTTCCTTTCTTCTTTGCTCTCTTTGCAAATTCCCTGTATCTCTTTTCTCTATCCTCTTAGAAAGATTCTCACCTCTAATTGTAGGGGAACAGTTAGGTCACAGCTTGAACTGGTGACTGGGCACCTGGTGAAGTAGTGTGGTTGGCCTGGGGAGCACAGGCAAAATATTTGCACTTATGCTCTCTAAATGACTAAGAGTGTACACAAGGTAGAGCCACCCTGGACTTGTGTAAGGGCCAAAGGGAAAACAGCTCTTGAGTCTAGGCTGCTTTCTGTGATGGAGTGCTGCATAGCTAGAGATTCCCCTCACCAGTTGGGTGAGGTCAACTCTTTTATCTGCATGTGATGATTAACCAGTATATGATTATTGTGAATACTTTGCCTGGTATTGCCAAGAACCTGTAAGAAGCAATTTTGTTAATTTGTGAGCAGAACACCCACCATTTGACACTTTTCTCTATTTTTATTTTTTCTTTTCCCAATGTGAAATTCATGCCCCTCTTTCTTCCTTTTCAGGGTGTGGAAGAATCAGCACCAGACAAGGTAATCGTTACTTCTGATTCTCTTTAGAGTTGTAGATACTATCAGTTATTTTAAATACCTCTTTCTGGATGTGTATTTGCATCTCATACTAGCAATTTCTTACCCTTTTTTTTCCTGAAAATTATTTTGTATTTCTTCCATGCTTGTGATGCTTCACTGACTTGAACAGAATCAATTTGTTATAGTAGCAACTATGCTTGCAATGTTCCTAAGGTTAAGATGAAACTTCAGAGCTATCCCATTTTCTATCTTTCATTATAGTTCTTATTTGAACATTTTTACCATATGCAAACTAGTATAACACTTTCCTGTGAAGCTCTTTCTTTTCTGATACCATTTTCCTTTTTTTTTTTTTTAATCTTCTTTCATCTCAGCATTGTGTTTATTGTCTATATGCTCCCATCTAGGTTGCTGATGGACAGTGGCAGAGAAAGAAAGACAACCCTGCCAGTTCTCATGGACGTGGAAGACTGGACCATCCTCTTCCATGTCTCATATTGCCAAGTCAAAATTAACAGCTGAACAAGGATCTCAGACCAAACCCTACATAAAAAGAAGCGAAAATAATAGGAACTTTAAAACTTATGATTTCTTGACACATATCTCAGCACTGAGGTGAGTGGTTTTGTGCTGTTAACATTATGTATTATTTAAAAGCTGTTTCCATTCTTCTTGTTCCTGAATACTCAGTTGCCCTGTCAGCAAAACGTATCCCAACATGGAGCTGACCAGTGAAGTGCATATATCTTACCAAATTCAAACTGATTATGGTGTGCTACCTCTAAAAATAAAATCCCAGAACAGAACAAAGAATGCTTAGATCACTGCAAAAGCTGCATATAGCAAGAGAGAAAAAGATGAATATTATTAAGTTCTTGCAAACTTGATCTTCATTCCCATATCACAAGGAACAAGAGAAAGGAAGGAGGTAGTCATTTTGCTTTAAATTAGAAAAGGAGCACATATCCCAGATCAGGTTCTCTGAGGAACTACCACAGCAAAAACTCTAACACTGAATGAGCTTTCATAAGGTTATCTCCCTGCTCTTTTCCTCACAATCTTTCTTCAGGGCTACGTTGCACTTCCAAATGCCTTTCACCTGACAGACTGAAAGAGAATAGAGGTCATAAGATTCTGAAGCTGCAAGATCCTGTCTGTAGGCAGATAATATTAATTGCCAAATTTTTGAGGTATGTCTCTTGACAGGCTCTAACCTGAGTTCCTCTCTCAAACATTAAGATTCCAAAATGCAGGGATCTCTAAAACCCAACTACCACCTGCAGCCCATCTACCTAGCAACAGTGAGCACTGAGCTCAATGATTAAGGTTGTATTTAACATGTTTTTAACATGCATTTAACACTTTTTGAACAAGAGTGAACTCCTAAACTCATACTACCAAAACTTTGGGCTTACTTAGGGTCCATCTTAGAATCTTGAAGAATGGTTTATCTGTAAATGTTTTTGCTGATGACCATGCAACGTGATGCTGATCAGTAATATAACACCAGAACTTCGAGTATTTTGTGAAGTATGTACAGGTGTAGGAATACACTTTTGTTGTAGAATCCTTAGAGATGGAAGGAACCTTTTAAGATCATCTAGTCCAACTCCCCTACAGTGGGACATACACAGCTGAATCAGGTTGCCCAGGGCTTGATCTAGCCTCTCCTTGAAAGTCTGCAAAGAGCCTCCACTGTACCTTCATGCAGTCTGTTTCAGTGTCTCACCAAACTCACTGTAAAAGACCTTTTCCTTGGATCTGACCCAAATCTACCTTCTTTGAGCTTGAAGCCACTACCCCTTGTTCTATCACCACAGACTCTGCTAAAGAGTCTGTCCCCCTCATTCTTCTAGATTTCCTTTAGGTCTGGAAAGGCCACTCTCAGGTCACCTCACAGACTTCTCCAAGCTGAACAGCTCCAGCTCTCTCAGCCTGTCCTTGTGGGAGAGGTGCTCCATTCTGCGAATCATTTTTGTGGCCCTTTCCTGGAAATACTCAACAGATCTGTGTCTCTCCTGTACTGAGGACTCCCCACTTGGTCACAGTACTCCAAATGAGGCCTCACCAGTGCAGAGTAGAGGGGCAGAATCACCTCCCTCAACCTGCTTGCCACACCTCTTTTGAAGCAGGTCAGGTTATAATTGGCTTTCTGGGCTGTGAAGGTTCATGCCCAGCTTCCCATCCACCAGTATCCCCCAAGTCCTTCTCAGAAGGGCTGCACTTAAGCCTTTCATTAACCAGTTTGTATTGTTAGTGAGGGTTCCATCGACCCAGGTGCAAGATCTCATGTTTGGATTTGTTGAACCTCGTGAGGTTCACCTGGGCCCCTAGCTCAGGCTGTTTAGGTCCCTGTGAATGGCATCCTTTCCCTCTGGTGTGTTCACTGCTCCTCACAACTTTGTGTCATCAGCAAACTTGTTAAACCTACTTGAGCCCACTGTCAGTGTCACTGATGAAAATATTAAAGAGTATCAGCCTCAGCACTGACCCCCATAAGATGCCACTCATCACTGGTATCCATCCAGACATTGAGCCATTGACCACTACTCTCTGGACTCAATCCTGCAACCAGTTATTCATCCATTGAAAAGTCCACTCGTCAAATCCATATCTTTCCAATTTGGAGAGATGGATGCTGTGGGGTACATTGTCAAAGACCTTACCAAAGTTGAGATAGATTACATCAGCGACTCTTCCCTTATCCATTGTTGCAGTGTCAGTATTATAGAAGGCCATGAGGTTGGTCCAGCAGGATTTGCCTTGGTGCAGCCATGCTGGTTCTCCTGTGTCACCTCCAAGGAATGCAACGCCTACCCTGAAAAGACAGGCTGAGTGCTGGAGCTGTCCATCCTGGAGAAGAGAAGGCTATGGGGACAACAGAGTGACCTTTCCTTATCTAAAGTCAGATTAATGAGAAAGAAGGGGTAGACTCTTTAGCAGGGGCTGTTGTGATAGGGCAAGGAGAAATGGTTTCAAACTAAAAAAGAAAAGTTTGAGAGTCAATATAAGGAAGTATTTTTTTACAATAAGTATAGTGAAGCTTTTGAACAAGATGCCCAGGGAGGTGGTGGATGTCCCAGTAGTTGAGACATTCAAGGTCAGACTGAACAGGACTCTGAGCACCTGATCTAGCTATGTTTGTCCCTGTTCATCGCAGGGTAGTTGGACTAGATGATCTTTAAGGATCCCTTCCAACTCAAATGATTCTAAAATTCTATTTCAGTTTACGTATTACTGAGGTAAATTTCTCCTGTGAAACTTTATTTTCCATAGGATAATGATACCGCTGAGATTGCCAAAGCTCAATGCTTTGACTTGATTTCCGTATTTCTACTCCTCACAGACTATAATTCTATAAGGTGCAACCTGACTATTTAAGGCCAGTAAAATGAATGTGACCTGAGAGCGCAAACACTTGGAAACTGATGGAGCTTAATTACTTGGGATTATAAAGAAGTAGATGAGAAACTAATTGAAAGTCAACAGAGATGGATTTGACCCTCATTCTGTCAAAGAAAGAAAGGAAGAAAGGAAGAAAGGAAGAAAGGAAGAAAGGAAGAAAGGAAGAAAGGAAGAAAGGAAAGGAAAGGAAAGGAAAGGAAAGGAAAGGAAAGGAAAGGAAAGGAAAGGAAAGGAAAGGAAAGGAAAGGAAAGGAA